GCAGCATGACCATCCCTCCTGTGAGATACTTTCTTACTTTTCCTCTCTCTCTGTCGGTCTCCAGCAAGTACACTTGCCCTTAAACAAAAATTTTTTTAAAAAAGAAAAAAAATCTTACAGGACTAGAGATGGCATAATGGTTATATTGCTGGACTCCCACTCGAACCACCATCATTCGAGTCCCAGATCTAGCCACTTGAAATGCATGCCAGGCCAGTGTGCGTGTGTGCTCAAAGTCCAAAGAGGAAAATGGAGGAGAAGGGATTGTGGTGTGGCCATTCCCCCCCAGAGTGGGGGGGGATTTTTTGCTTTCTTTCTCTCTGTCTCTCTGTCACTCCAGGAAGCACACACACCCTATAGCAAAACTCTCTCTCAAGAAAAACAAGAAGAAAGAAAAACTTGCATCTTTAAAAAAAGTAATATTTTTCAATTTGTTGAATAATTATGGCTCCAGAGAAACTTTTGCATGACTATTTTTAATTGCTACTTGTGCACTGGCCAAAGAGAGACAGAGAAAGAGTAAGAAAGCACCTCCCAGTGGGGTGTGATCATGACATGATCCCTTCCCCATTTCTCTGTCCTGCCAGGATTTGGACACATAGACACATGGGAATATTTTTCAAGCCACTGAGGCCAAGATTGGAATTTAAACCACAGTCAGCCATGTGGGATTTGACTCCCCTAAACCACTTGGCTATAGAGCTGACCCTTAATTTATTTTTAAAAATTGACAGGTAAAAATTGCATATATTTATGATTTATAGCCTGACATTTTGATACACACACGCACAGACACACACACATCCATTGTGGAATGGCTAAATTAAGCTATTTAACACATGCATTCTCTTACATACTTTTTTATGTGGTGAGAACCCATAACATTTAATCTGTCAACAATTTTTAGTTGTAATATATTGTTATTAACTATAGTCACCACAAGGTATGAACATTTTAATACCTACCCTTTTCATGAACTAAATAAACAAATCCAGACAATTCATTTTGGTACCAGTGTCTTCATCTGATTGTGAGGTGTCATAAATTAGAAGACTTCAAAAAGGACATGAAAAAATGCAATTTTTTTTTTTTTTTTTTTTTTAGGTTTTTGTCATAGGGTGCTTGCACTTGCCAGAGAAAGTTAGAAATCATTCCCCAGGTGGGACTGCCACACTGCAATCTCTTCTCCTTCATTCTCCACTTGGGATTTTGGGTATGCACGCACACACCTAGCATGAGTTTTATGTTTCCGGATCCAGGACTCGAACTATGGTTGGTCATGTGGGAGTCTAGTGCCTTAACCAACATGCCACCTGCTGCCCCCTCCCAAAATGGAATTAAAGTACAAATTTATCTTGGTGCACAACAGTTCCAAAATCCAGTCATAGTTTTTTTGTAATCTGTATTTTTCCTAACTTTTTAAAGACCCCACCTATGAATTACTTAGTATCCTGCCTAATGTTGTTTTTTAAAAGAATTATTTAATTTTATTTATTTATTTATTTATTTTTTATTATTATTATTTTAGTTTGATGAAAAAGAGACAGAGAAGGAAAGAGAGAAAGTGAAAAAGTGAGGAAAGCAAGCCGCCAGGTCTGGGACTTGAACCATGTTCGGTCATGTGGGAGTCCAGTGCCTAACCACCACACCACCTGCCAGCCCTGCCTAATATACATTAAAGTGTGTATTTTAAATGGTCTCTAAATTTATTTATTTATTTAAGAGATTTTTGCTGTAGGGCGTTTGTGCTTACCAGAGACATAGAGAGAGACAGAGATAGAAAGTGACAAGTCATCACATTGAGAGATGGCCATGCTACAATCCCTTCTCCTCCATTCTCCTCTCAGGATTTTGGGCATGCACACACATGCGCCCGGCATGAGTTTTGAGCAGCCGGGTCTGGGACTCAAACCATGGTTGACTATGTGGGAGTCTTGAGACATAACTACTACGCCATCTGCTGGTCCCAAATGGCCTCTAAATTGAAGTAACATGAAAAAAGCAAATATTAAAATGACACAAAGAGCTATACAACACACAGTAAATCACTTTTGGCGAAGTTTTCCACTGTTACTACTAATATTACTAGAGATCTCTAAGCAAAAGTGAAGTTTTGCATTGATTAAGAAGGAAGGCTTGCAAACCGGTAAATAACATCAGTTCAAGTCAGAACTGAGTAAAATAACACAAGTATCTCGGCTAAATTCCAATGTGAATGATTAACATTCTCCAACTTCAAATAATTTTTATTATTAGCCTACACTTGTCCATCCCCAATAATACACACGTTGCATCAAGCACACAGCAAGAGTCGGCCTCCCCTGGCATGTTCACAGTCTGTGCATACTTTCCACTGAGGGCTTCCTTTCTTTTTGACTGCCATTCCATAGCTTTCCACTTCCAGTACTTTCAGTCCTGGGATGTTTGCCTATCCAGGGAACCAAGTAGTTCCCCAAACCAAAAGAGATCAAATATGAACACCTGTAGAACTCCAAGGAATGAAAGACGTAAAGTACATTTTTAACATGTGTTAATAGTTTTTTGATGTCTATGAAGCGATTGGTATTTATTCCTTTTTAACTTTGAGGCTGGATTAATACATATGTTCTGCGTTATTTCCCACAAAGCCTTGCTACAGGAATGAGAGGACTCTTCTGTAGTTCAGATTCCCAGTCTGCACAAATGGAATCCAGGGTAGAAGATTGACAATAACCTACTATGGATCTCAGCCATGGAGTCCGGTCCTGCCTGCCTATTTTTGCCTTTTCCCCAATGGAAGAAAGCAGTAGGGGAGCAGAGGACAATTTAAATCCTCTACATAAACGTGTACAATTTTCAAGTATGGCAACCACCTCAGTCCTACAACCTAATTAGAACATGTAGAAAGCAGGCCTTTTCAGAACGTTTAAAGCTTGAAGCGGGATAACTCATCTGGAGAGAGTCCCTGACGCTGGGGTGCCTCGCAGGTCTTCCTGCAGCCTGGTCGCTCTGAGTCCCTGTCTCCGGCCCCTAGCAGGTGGTCAGAGGGGACACAGCGCCCCACCCAGTACAGATCCCTGAACCAATGCTGCTTCTCAATGCGGGCGACTTTGAAACTGTCTGGCATTATGAACCTGAACCGATAAAGGATTAGCATCTCTCGAGTTTTTCAAAGGCACAAAGAAACCCACTTTATTATTCCAACAGTAAGATTTTGTTCAAGATGCAACGTTAAGGTCGAAGCCTGGGAGATGCAATGGTAGATGGGGTGGGGTGGGGGCATAAGATTGTGGATACTTATGCCCAACTGCCTGGGCTTGAGTCCTAAGTCTGCCATTTGAGCGCCTACTACGTGCCAGGCGCTCAGAAAGCGGCGACGAACAAGATCGCCTAGGTCACAGCTTTCCTGGGTAACTATGATTAGCTTGGCTGTCTTGGTCAACTTTCTGTCTGGGTTTCTACACCGGTAGGGATACCTGACTCATAGAATCGTAAGGATTGGAGATCTCACATTAACGTAACAAGCTATCGGGCACACGGTACCACTCTTGAGCATTCGCTCTTCTTTCTGCGGAGCTCACCCAGTACCAAGACACCGCAGGAGGGACAGGTGCCACGGTAGGAATGCTTCTCTGAGCAATTCTTTTGGAGACGCTTAGCTGCAGATGCAACCTGGTGGGGGCCTGGAAGCAAAGGTTCATAATAAGCTAGCACAACACAGGAGAGCGAGCCCCGCAAGGGTGGGCGCGGGCAGAGGACTCCGGAGGGGACTTCTGGCCAGGGTTTCCCGCCCGGTTCTCAAGGCAGCCTGCTTAGTATTCGCTCCGCCCCCGTCGCTTCTCGGCCCAGGATTGGCCAGCGCTCCTCGGCTGCCCGCTCGGGGCGGGGCGGGAGGGCGCCTGGGGAGCGGCCAAGCCCGCGGGGCAGGGGGCGGGGACACGCGGAGAGCGTGGCGGGGGGGGGGGGAGGGGCCGGGCGGCCCGCGGCCGCGACTCCGCCGCGGTCGCTCGGTGCCTGCCGGAGGTGGGCGAAAGGGTGCGAGAGCGCGGGGGAGGAGCCGAGCCGGGCGCGTCCCGAGAGCGCCGCCACCTCCCTCAGGAGTCCGCTGGAGCGCAGAGCCCCCTGCAGGGGAGGAGGAGAGCGGCCAGCGGGCCCCCGCTGAACCCCCCACCCTCCCCTAGCCTGCTCCGCCAGGATCCTGCCGGGGGGCCCGGAGGAGGAGAGGGCGAGTGACCGGCCTGCGCCGACCGTGTTCGGGAGGCGCCCTCCTCTCTGAGACGCCCCCACCTGCTGCCATGTGCCACCGCCACGGGTACCCTGCTTGTCGCTAAACTTTCCTGGCGTCGGCCCGGCTCTGAGTCGCGTTTCTGAGCGGAGTGCCCCAGAGACCGAGGACCCAGGCTGGCTGCGGGCTGTCTGTTCCTCTCGGCGGGATCCGCGTAGGTGAGAGCCCGCGCCGTCCCTTTCTCGCGTCCCTCTCCCTGTCCCCCTGCCATTTCCCTGGGGGCTGAGAGCGCTGACCCCGAGGCACAGCCTGGAGAGCCCAGCCAGGGAAAGGAGGGTGGGCGAAGTCAGTCGTTTGGTTCCAGAAGGTGGACGGGAGGAAAACAGAGGGGTTAACTTAAGATTTGGGGACCGCTTGCAGCGCTGTTGACTCCCTTCGGATAGGGAGTGGTTGCAATTTTTCTTCTCCCCCACCTTCTCTTTTAAAGAGTCCTTTCCCTGAAATCGGAGCCCTAACCGTCCCTCCCAGCCCCTATCCGGCGAGGAGCTGAACGCTGCCAGCGGAGGCAGCGCCTTCCCGGAGTAATTTATCTTTGGACGGATTTCTTTAAGAAAAAAAAGAAGCCAACAGGTTGCCAGCGTCGGCGCCACACACAGGACGCCGGAGAGGGAAGCCCTGGCCCCGGATTCCTCTGCCTGCCTTGGCCCCTCGCGGGCTGCGGGAGGCAAGGGGAGGGAGGAGGCGATGGCTCGGCCTGACCCGTCTGCGCCGCCCTCGCTGTTGCTGCCGTGCGCGGCGGGGAGCCGGCCCCCGCCTCCAAGGCCCCGGTGTGCCAGGAAATCACGGTGCCCATGTGCCGGGGCATCGGCTACAACCTGACGCACATGCCCAACCAGTTCAACCACGACACGCAGGACGAGGCCGGCCTGGAGGTGCACCAGTTCTGGCCGCTGGTGGAGATCCACTGCTCGCCCGACCTGCGCTTTTTCCTGTGCTCCATGTACACGCCCATCTGCCTGCCGGACTACCACAAGCCGCTGCCGCCCTGCCGCTCGGTGTGTGAGCGCGCCAAGGACTGCTGGCCGCCG